AGATTTTTTTCTTTAAAGGTCAGGAGATAGAAAAATACTTCACAGAGGATTAAAAAAAAAAAAAAAAAAACCACCAGCACAAACGAGTAAAAACAAAATTGAAAGGGGCTTAGTTGCTAAAAAAGGATTTTAGTTGCTAAATAAGCTAAAGCTGCCAAATGATGACACAACTGAATTCATGGTGTAGCCCTGAAATTTGAAGCAGATATTCTAACTTCAGGGTGCAGGCTGTAGAGTGACACCTTGGTTTGATGAAGTCTTGGAACTGTGGAAAAGAACCAACATTATTCTGCAGTATGTAAGGACAAAGTGAAACTAAGGACATGAAAACGCCAGTTCATAGCCCACAGTGACCTGTACCTGCAGCACTATGTCTGCCTCTACTCTATACCTACTTTCCTACTTTTCTTAGTAGGAAAGGCTTCAAACAAACAAACAAACAAACAAACATTAATAACATTAAGAAGCAAAAACTCATTGTAAAAAAAAAAAAATTACTTTTTCTTTGCCAATCTGCATTCACTATACTTTCCTTTTCTGAATAATTGCTTACTCTGTATATGAATTTAAGTTTAGAAGATGCCTGAATGGACAAGAATTGTTTTCAGTCCCAGAAGCTGGTTGGAGAAGAGCATTACTACAAAACTGAAAGAGAGGAGATTTTAGCATACAGAGTAGGAAGTGCTTTAAACAGTAGCTGGGTGGATTTTTTTACTACTATGAGAAGCAGCTGAAAGTTTGCTATTAAAAATAATAGCAAACATATGTGATGTGTTCTCAAACAGAGAGAATTGTATTAAAGTTCCACATATGATCATCCCTGCCACTGAGCTCACAGGGATAGCTTCACTTTGATGAGGTTTCAAAAGACCCTGCAGGAGTCTGCTGGTGTTTCCTTGCGAAAAACAAATTTTGTGATGGAATGTGATGAGTGTCATGCATTCGAGGTACCAAAAAGAGATATTTCTTAGTATTGTAACTCATGATCTTCCAGCAGTTATTAAAATGTAATGGTGAGGAGACTGCAGAGCACAGATATTAGATCCCTCTGAAATAATGGTGTTTATGTCATGTAAGAGCTTTCTTCTTTCTGTCTCTCTCCCATATGTTGTTTTTTAACACTCTGCCTCAGAGATAAATCCTTGCACACAAAAGGTAGCCATAGAGTAGGGATTGCACGTCCCTGACCCACTCTGCTCCTGAACAAGTTCAGCTGTGCTGTCTCCAGCCGCCTTTGCTGGCTCACCTCACTTAGGTGACCTTAAACTGGAACCACAGAGCGTGAGACTTCTCAGCTGATGTGCAGAATAATATCCCGCAGCCAGCACATTGAAACAGCTATCTGGAAACAAATTTTGAGCCTTGCACAAGATTATAATTCTACAGCATGCTAAAGGTCACACTGATTAACTTGGATGGGAATTAGCTGTGAATAAATTCCTCACTCCTAATAAAGCAGGCAGGAAACCCGTCTCCAATCCTTCATTCTGAGATGAATTAATAAAGCGATACTAACTGCAAAGACTCAGTTACCAGAATAAGCTATTAGAGCAGCTATCACTGATTTTTCTAGAAGTATGAGGTACTTTCACTGAGCTTCTATATGCAAGACTTTATTGTGGAAGCCAGGGAGTTGATGGAGCTACAGCTGCTTCTGCCAGGAGAGGCACCATGGGAGTGCCATGTGGATGATTTTAACTCACACCATTTCAAGCACAATGACAAAAACTGCCATGGGAAAACAACACGACTAAAACTATGTTTCCTGTGGCTTACTAATGGACTATTCATGCAAAACATTAAGCTGATGAATGTGAATTTGTTGGATGCATTACCCTTCCTCCCTTTGAGCAGGTTTCAAAGATTGCAATTATGTTTGGTTTAATTACTATTAGTCTCAATTGAATTGTCAGTTCTTTCAGCATTTTCAGTATGTAAAAATTTATATTTAAAATTTGCCTTATCTGAAGGCAAATTTTACATGTTGGTTCAGTTTTGTATGAATTGGGCGTTATTGTATTTCAAGGCCTGATCATCATGCTTACTTAAGGAGAAGAATTCTTTGTTGATTATTGCTGTTCTAAATACACATAAAGCAACTCAACATGAGTTAATTCTTGTGTAGTTTTGTCTTTGGATTTTTTTTTTCCAGACTCCATAGTCACGTTCCATTTGAACTGGAATTTATTTCAGACTGAGGTAGAGATGAGAGATCCTCACCATCTCCTACACTCACAGAGCAGCTGCATGGCTCCTGCAGGCTGATCAGGATTGCTTCAGTTGGATGCTTCACCTGAGTGCCTTCCAGGCAATTAAGGAGTCCCACATGCTTCAGACTCTGTGAATTTGGGATCTTGAGAGCAGCAGATTCCAAAGGGCTATCTGGGTACTCAGCCTGCACTGCACTGTATGCCCTTAAAGCCCTTGGGAAGCGTGGGCTTTGTCTTTTCACTCTCACAGAAATAAAACTTGCATCTCTTAAAGCATTTTGCCAAAACACAAGACTAGACTGTAAAATTGAAGCATTCTCCCTTCAGGCTGGTGAGGAGTAAAATCTAAGTGTGACCCACTGCAGAAAAAGTACTGTAATTTGAGCAGAGCAGGGAAGAAATGAGCAGAAGGGAGCTTCACTGCATAATCCAACAGTAAAAGCATTAACTGAGGAAAGGAGAAAAGGGAAACCTCACTTCACTGCTTCTATTCACCATTAAATGCCCTTTCCCTCATTCAGTGAATCCCATTGCCCCAGCCCCTTCTCCGCTTTCCACATCCAAGAAGAAAACTGAAGAATTTAAGTCACCCCACATTATTCAGCCACTCAAATCACAAACATGTTTCTCAGAGGTTATCAGCAGTCTCCTGGTAGCGGCACCTCAAAAAAGACCTTTATATTTCCCATCCCTGTCCTCAGGCTCCCTCTGAGGCAAAGCTCAGCTGTTGATCTCTCTCCCATGGAGGGACAGGCTGAGGGATGGTGCATGTGCCATCAGCCACAGGATGTCCCTCTCAGGAGATGCTGCTGCCACACTGATGCCATATGCCTTTTTATTTCGTGACACCTGTTTACGCAGCTTGAGGCAGGAAAAAGATTACTTTCACAGCAGAATGGGAAATCATGGAGCGTTCACTGGCACACAGTGGGTTCAGGGAATATCTTGTGAAAGCATTTAACAATTCATATTGTCAGAACGTGTATGAATGTCCAAACACATGCTGTTTCCAGTCTCCTGTGTAAGAGCCACATTTGCAAATCCTTAAGCCAAAGAAATCAAATCCTGTAGCTAAAAGTTATAAGCGGAAAAAAAAAATCAGTCTTTCTGATTATTGTTTCTTAACTTCTCTGTGTTGGTTTTGAGCAAGGTGTGTTTTGCTTCCTTGAGTATTCTGCTCAGTATTGCAACATAAATGAGAAAGTTGACTTTTATGAATTTGTAAATAAAAATAACTATTCTCTCCTGAGCACATAATATTTGTATCTGCGGCAATATACATTGTTACAATGGCATTGCTGGCCTTTGGAAAAGTTTTAGAACAGGTTTGTTCCCATTTTGTGAGTGCTTCAAGTGCTGGGCAGCATGATGTTAGTTTAAACCAAAGTGAGTTAAAGTGCTGCATAGCATGATCTCAGTCATGGCCTGATGCTGCTTTTCTCTTACTCTTCTGAGATCATAGTGACAGAAGAGCAAGACAGTCAGTTTAAATCTTGGGGATTAAGTCTTCAACTGCTGCACAACATTGATGATTGGACAGATCTGGTCAATGTCCTCTCCTCACTATGCTGTGATTTTTATTTTTTTTCTGACAGTGGGCATTTGAGCCTGTACGAGTTGCTGTAATTAAAATAGTGCTACAGGTGTGTTACATGATGTGACAAAACATAAGTACTCTAATGCTCAGTACAGAATAAATAAGTTGATTTAAAAAACCTTCAAAAAAGAAAGAAACTTTCCAGCTCTGAGCAAATTTATTTTTGGCATCTTCATCTCCTCAAGAAAGAGCCCGTCCCAGTCGGTGTGGGGGCACAGGGGGTGTGCAGGGACGCGGCGGGCACAGCCCCGCACACAGCTCCATCACACAGGGCACTGCTGGAGCCGCCTCTGCTGAGTTAGTGCTTCCTCGCCCGATCTGCTGTCATCTCATTTATCCCACAAGAACTGAAAATTAACCCGAAGCATTTTAAGACCTTATTTTCCATTTTTTTTAATGCCTTCCTATGCATTTAATTACTTTCCAAAATCCAAACACATTTGTGCCTATAAGCCAGAGGCTCTGTTAGCCTGGATCCATGGTGCCGAATTACTTCAGAGGTCAGAGACCCCTGTAGCAGCCAGGTGTTCCTCAGCACAGTGCAGTGCCTGCTGTCTCTCCTGCACACATCTCCAGCTCTGTGTAACCCTCGGTGTAAGGGACAGAAGTGCCAGCTCAGCTGCTGTCCAAGGGCAGCAGTATTTAATCCCATTTTCCAGCCGTGCCGAAGGGCAGATCTCCACCCCTCAGGGAGGCCGGCTGAACTGCTCTCGGTTGCTACACGTGTTTCTGACGGGAACCGTGCGCTGGGTACCAGCAGGGTACTTTTCCCGAGGGATACTTCACAGAGGAGCCCAGACCGAGCAGTTTTTATCCCTCTCATAACGCCCCCGCCGTGCGCGCTCATTTTAAACTGAGGAGGGGACAGCGCGGCCCCGCCCCCAACATGGCGGCCGAAGGGCAGGGCCGGCCGCGCGCTCACCCCGCGCCGCCGGAAGTGACGCATTTGAGGCCGTGCGCGGCGGCGGCAGCGGCGGGAGGTGCGGGCCGGGTGCTCGGGGGTTGGGGCTCGGGCTCGGGCTCGGGCTGGGGCTCGGGGCTCGGCGGGGCGCCCCTTCCCGCCATCCCCGTGGGGTCCGGGGGAGCCCCCGATCGAGTGTTCACGGCCTTCCCCGCCGCGAGCGGGAGGCCGCGGGCCGGGCGGGCTCAGGCCCGGAGCCGTGCGGCGGGGTCGGTGGGCAGGGCCCCGGCCGCGGCCTGGCCGCTCGCTCGGGCCGGCTGTGGCGGTGAGCTCCCGGCTGCGGCTGTGCGGCCGCTGTGAGACTCCAGGGAATCGGAACAGACCTGGGGGAACATTTTGGTTTAAGGATTTGTGTAAGTACAGCCTTAAAGGACCCAATAAAGGTGCGTGTTCCGGCACCGTGTGCAGTCGAAAGTTCTTGATTGTGTTCTGTGTGTTCCAGGTGAAATGGTTTTCATATGCTGAACTCCAGCTTGGATTGCCTCGTGGCTGCACGTTGAGAACTTTGTAAAAAGCGGGAAGTCAAGATGAAGAGCAGGGTGACACAAGTAAATGTAAGTGTTCTTAGACCTAAATTGTAGGATTTGATCACTCCCATGTCGCTGGTAATCAGGTTTGTAGCTAACATTATATTAAATAAAACTTCCTGAATGGAACGGGAGTAATAATATAACAGCTGTGACAGCAGCTGTTTGCAAGATAAATACTATTAGGAGTCAGTAAATTACAGCTATTTCTAGCTGCTGCTGTCCTTGCAATCAAAGCCTGAATAGTAATACTGTGAAATGTTACAGTAATTGGTCAAAACTGACTGAATGCTGATGGCTCCACAGTAAATGTAAGCATGTGGAGGAATAGAGAAAGATTTTGAAAAATTTCACAACAATCTTAAAAGATGTAGAGACAGTAAGTGGCATTTAATTTGACAACTGTATGTCATACTATGCATGTTAAAACTTTTCTTTTTAATACCTATACGTGCCATTTCTGAGTGGATGGGAGTAATTTTTTGGGAATGCAAGAAGAAAACATTGAGAAATGCTGTGCTTGTAGAGGTACACATCATTTGTAAGGCCAGATTTGGGACATGTTAGCAGAGCAATATTGTTATAATGCAGTACCTGAAATCTGTGGTATGACTTTGCCTGTTTGTCCACAGTTGGAACCTTCTTGGGCTTCTTCACTCTTTTTGCCCCAACTTTTCTGACTTGAGTGGCTTTTAGTAGGGATGCTTGAGGGGTAGTTTTAATACCTTCTGTTTTCCCAATCTGTTGGTGCTCCCTCATCTGTTAAAATGAACCAGTTAGCAAAAGCACACTGTTTGGACACTTTCAGTTAATCATTTTGATGAAAATGGACAAGGAAAGAGGACTAACTTGTGGCAGAAAACCTGGTCACAGAGACCTGAAGGTGACAATTTCTTCAACAAGCAAAGCTGCTTTTGCACATAGATGTGGTAAATGCCAAACACAGAAACAGCCATAACCTTGTTCTATTTCTGTGAACACTTGTATTTTTGATTCTGCTTGGGCAGAGACAGATGAGAATGGATCATCCTAAAAAGACCCAGTGCCTTCATCCCACTGCTAGATAGGATTTAAATACAGGAACTATCTTGTGTTCTTCAAAGATTTTTATTACCACTTTCTTGGAAGCTTAGGATACAGGCTGGCATTATATTACTGGGCTGGGGAAAAAAAGCAAGGACTTTTCTTACCGTTGAATGAATTCAGTGATCTGCTCTGTGGTGTAATGGTCATTGAAAGGGGTAGCAAACCTTGGTGAGTGTGTGAATTTCTTGTACTGTCTCTGCTGGCAAAGATACCGTGGCTCTAAAATTAACCAGGTGGGCATAACTTTTATAGGGATGCATGCTGCCAGTGACAATGCAATGCCCTTGTTCTCTGTCATCATCTTGATGCAGGCAATGGAATGCTGGGTGTAATTTTAGCAATTTGAAATGCACCCTAGGAAAGGCAGCATTCTAGCATATGTTATAGTGGCCTCAAAAAAACAATTATTGGTTTGCATATATACACACCCCCCCCAGTTAAGTTCTTAGAGATAACAGCTGCCCTGCTTTTTCTGGAAAAGGTGTCATTATATTCTGGTCACCCAGAGTTTTAACTGGTTCTTTGGTGGGGCAAGAACTGGTGTGCCAGTTGGTGTAGAGGGTGCTGCTTCAGTGAACAAACTGTGTGTTGCTGCAGGGAGTTCCATCAAGGTGCATAAGGAAATAATTTTGTTGAGTTTCACACACAATCACTCTGTGGCATCATGAGATTGTAGTTCTGAAAAATCATAAATAATATTTTAAAGGAAGGGATGACCCTTCCAATGAAAGTACTCAGGTTACAAATGCTGCTTCTTGATTCTGCCAAAGTTGTTTAGAAACATGTTAATGAATGTCTGCGTGTTTGTTGTAGATGCTGTCTCATTCTGATTTTTGTATGACTCCATACTTACACACGTCATGGTTCAGCCCATGGAATTTGGTGTGAGCTGTTTAAGTGTGTATCACTTACACAATCTGCAAATCTGCCAAGTAAATCAGTGCAGCTCAGGTGTTTGTAATGTATGAAACTAGGAATGACTCTTGAGGAAATAAATGGTAATTAGTAAAAAGGGGGAATGTAAGGAAAAATTGCTCAATAAAGGGAATTTTTAGGAGAGAGGAAAGACACTCTTTAAACTAGGAATGGTGGAATTCTGTTTGTGGTATTGCGTGTGGCACACCAAATTAAAATGGCATCTGAAAGAATGCCATTTCTAGTAGGAAAGGCAGAGCAGTGGTCCATCTACTGTAGTCTCCAGCAGTAATTAACAGCAGATGCCTTAAAGAGTTTAGGATAGAGCAACTATAAAAGTACTTGCCCATGTACACTCCCACTCTATACCTGTTTGCAGCTTCCTGTGCCAGATAAAGTTTTTTGGTAACCCTTGTGGATTTTTCTTCAGTGTTTGTTCAGTTGAACCTGTGGAAGCATTTGGCATCTGCAGCATCCTGTAGCTGGGTGTCCAGCTGTTCAACTGCTTGTTCCTAGAGAGCCAGGAACCTTTCCTTGTCATACCTGACTGCAATCAGCTTTGTTGATGGCCCTTCTTGTAAAAGAGTGGGAACTGAGGCATGGTGTGCTTTGATCTGAAGATAGGTGCTCACACTCATGTTGGGGCTTGACTGTTTTTTTTTCTTTCTCTTTCCCTAAAGCATGGTTCCAGTCATGACAGGAGGGAAAACCACAGTTCCCGACATGACAGTTTGTCTCCAGAGGACAGGTAAAGTGACTGATTCTTGTTTCCTTCAATTCTGTCTATATACCTCACATAGTGAGTTAGAGAAGCTAAAAAAAATCATCAGATTATGTTTCTTTTTATATACTACCATAACGAAGTGGTAAAAAGCAAGTATAGATTTATAAAATACTTGAGTGATAATGTAACAGTAATTAAATGGGTTTGTTACTAAAGCTCAGTATTTAGTTAAATTATCATGAGACTTGAAAGTGGAAGTTACATGCTGGCTTTTTGCTTGAAGTCACATATTGCTGATACCACAGTTAACATTTTTGGGCAAGATTACTTCATGCTCTACAGGCAAAATAAGTAGAAACAAATGAATACATACGTTCGAGGAATACAAGGTGCTGAATTTAGCACTGATATTTGATGTTATTATTGTTAAACATTTAATTTCAGATTCTAGGAGCTTTCCTTTACAGTGCTTCTTTGATTTTTTATGTTTTTTTCCTGATGACAAATTATTGTTAAACTAGACCCTTTTATTGATGTGACACATATTTTGAAACTCACATTGCAGAATTGGAACACTTTTGCATTGTTACATTATATTGCAAGTATATATTAATACCATTGCCCTTCTCAGCCTCTTACTAAAAGTTTTTGTGCTATGGATTGTGTAGGGATATGGAGCGTGATAGGTCTCGGTCTCGATCGCCCAGGAAGAGGAGGTACTCTGATGACAGCAGATATGATGAGGAATATTCAAGACGGGAATACTATGATGACAGAACTTCAGATGGAAGGTCTGGAGCCCTTTCTTAATCAGTAATGAAATACTTGCTTTTAAAGAATAAAATGTGAAAGCTTTTCACATACAGTTGGGTGTTTAGTGGGTATTTATTCTTTTTCCTTTAGAAGGGTGGAGAGGGGGAGAGACAGGCACTATGAGAGATGGGAGGACAGAGACTATGATCGAAGGAAGCAGAGACGGTACTCGTCACCTGAGCGCAGGAGTCCGGAGAGGTCGACAGGCCAGAGCTCATTTGCTCATGATGAGACCACCTCAAAGAAGAAGAAAGAAGAGGTGGATCCAATCCTCACTCGCACAGGTGGTGCATATATTCCACCTGCCAAGCTCAGGATGATGCAAGAGCAAATTACTGATAAAAATAGGTGAGTTCAAAGTTACATAGTAGGTTTTTTGCTGCAAGCAAAACAGTTAAGGTGTTTAGAGAATGTTGGGAAAGATAGGATGCATTAAGGGTTGTGATCATTGTTTTGAAGGTATATTCTTATCAGAAGAGAGATAAGAGAATCAGAAAAAACTGTACCTGCATCTGCTGCAAAGTGGAAATTATAAAGTAAAGCAGGATACTAAATGTAGCTAGGATTTTTTTGGAACATCTTACAAAGCAACATGCTGGGTTATACCATATCTTCAGAGAATTACACTTTGGTTTATCATGTTGGTTCAATGATTTTCTAGTGCTTGAATGTAGAATTGTAAACAACTCTTAACATTTATGCAGTGAATATTTTTAATTTATTTTAATGATTAAAGGAAAGTGTGAATATATGCTATATATATAAATTTGCTCAGTGGCACTTCAAATTTATACAATATCAATTTGTGATACTCTGTAATAGCTTGGCATACCAGAGGATGAGTTGGGAAGCCTTGAAGAAGTCAATCAATGGTCTTGTCAACAAAGTGAATGTTTCTAATATAGAAAACATCATTCATGAGCTCCTTCAGGAGAATATTGTTCGGGGAAGGTAAGCCTTGGTATTTGAAAAGAATTCTTTTGCTTTTCTGGAGCATGTACGCTCTTCATGTGGACACTGTTGTGTGTGCTATTAGTAGTGTATGGGTGTTAGTCAGATCTTAGTGTTAACCTTGGGCCATGTTGTCCTATTCAGAATATTCCCTTACTTGGGAAAAAGATTGTGTGCTTGGTGGAATAGAAGAGTGCAACAGATGGTGTATATTTCCTTTTCTTAAGGTTTTCCCAATGCATTTTACTTGAATGACTTGTAATTTACAGTTGTCGTTGTCTATTTTGCTTGTAATGCTTCATTTTTTATTTTTTGGGGTGACAATATTTTAGCCACTATTTAACAAAAAGAGTTTTACTGCAGTTACCCTGTTGGTGTTATTTATTGATGCATTGTAAAGAAAAGACCATTATGCTGTTGTAGCTTGGTAGATCCAAAAATAATTTTTGTGCACTAGTATGAAATGAGTTCTATTCCACTTGTCAATGCCAAAGTAAGTAGGAATAAGGTCTCTGTGCACTTTGTATTTCTTGCTCTGTAGGAGTTTTTTTTAGGATTTCAGTAGGCCACAGGGAAGGTAGATTTGAATATCAGTGTGTACTTTGAAGATTCCATATTTGGAGTTTGTTTTGTTTTTATCCTCACCCATATGTAGTTGAGTAATACAGCAAAAGTCAAATTCTGTGTGCTTCTAAGCATTACAGAAAGCAAAATTGAGAGGAGGAGAAGTAAGTCACAGATGCTTCTCAGACTTTCTTGATAATAAATGTAAAAGAGACCATTTGAGTAATAAAAGAACTATTGCCTCATGAAGCCTATGTTTACATTCATTTAATCTTTAAGTAGTATTTTATAATAAGTCAAAGTTCAGATTAAAAAAGGGATAATTGCAGGATACAAGATGGCTTTCTGCATGCTTAGCATTTTTAAATCTATCTGTAATATGAACAATATTTAGTGAAAGATTAGGTAACAGTTTAAGAACTTTTCAGAAAGATTTGTGCAACACATTTTGCAAAACTCCAATTGTGGCATGAAAAACCATGGTTTGAAAAACATCATCTGGTTTCTTCCAGCTTCTCCAACTGCACAACACTATTTCATGTGGTGAGTACTGAATGAAAACATTACATGCTTTATTACCAGGAAGGTCTTTAAAACTTGCTTTTTTTTTCCAGGGGATTGCTGTCTAGATCCATTTTGCAAGCTCAGAGTGCCTCTCCGATTTTTACTCACGTTTATGCAGCTCTTGTGGCAATCATCAATTCCAAGTTTCCGAATATCGGTGAATTGATCCTCAAGAGGCTGATACTGAATTTTCGTAAAGGGTATCGCAGAAATGACAAGGTATGTAAAATGTGAAGGAGCATCGTGCTGAACTGTGGAATTCTGCACTGTAACTGTGTCAAGTGTGTTCAAAGGAGCACAGCCAAGACGTGGGTCAAGACCAGTCAATGGGACATTTAGTAGTATTAGAGTATCATGAAACTGGATTGATACTGTGATAGTTTGAGTTTTTTTCATTTAGGCAAGGGTGTTTAATTCTAATTTTCTATCTATCCTCAAATAGTTTCATGACTCTAATTCGTTTGTGAGATGCATTTATCTATAGTATGTCTGGGTTAGGAATTTCTTCTTCTGTATGTTAAAATTTCCTGGTTTATTTCTTTTGCAGCAACTCTGTCTAACGTCTTCGAAATTTGTTGCACATTTGATGAATCAGAATGTGGTATGTTTCTTTGTTTCTACTCAATCCAAACCCTATATGGCTAATTTTTAGTTTAAGACAGCAGTACCCTAAATGAAGGTTCTCTGTCTCTTCTGAAAGTTGCTGAAAGCTTGAGTGTGGTCCCTGCTTTAAGTTGTTAAATTCTGTTTATAAAAGATACTGGTAATTGCTTATGCAGTTATCACTACTTATCACTGCACTTCTGCTCCAGAGCTTCCCAAGATTTCATGTGTGTGTTTGGGCTAGTATTCAGGCATGTCTCTATGCAAAGCAAGGATTATCTGGGGCTCTGTCCCACAGATCTTAAACAGAATTTTCTTGCAACATGTGTGTTAGCAGAAGTAGACTTAGTTGATCTAAATCAAATTTATATCCAGCTCTATTCCATTTGTTAATGTGTCAGCAATCAGGATGCTCTGATTTAAATAATGTCAGGAAGCAGTGTCTCAGGAATGTGTTGGGAATGTTCAGCATTTTGCTAAAGAGGAAATGAATCTGAGATGGGTGATTTGCTTATATGCCTGGTCCTGGAAGATCTTATTTAATTATAGATGCAATGCTCTTAGAGCTGGGTTCTGTAATGCAAGTGCTGGTTTGTTTCCTTCTTGGAAATGCATTCTGTTAATTCTTAATGGCAAAATATTTTTCTTTGCCAGCTTGCGCACTTCAATAGAAGAGTCACATTCACTAGAAAATTGATGTAAATACTGATGGTAGAACTGGATTTGAAATTTTCACTTCCTCTTAATCAGCTTTGCCCCGCTACTGCTGCGTTGTGTGATTAAACTGCTGTGTTATGGCATCCTTCAAAGGCTGGACAGGTCTGTCCAGTAAATGACTGTGGTGATAGTGTAATATTTTGCATTCTAATTCTTTGCTGATACTTCTTCCACAGGCTCATGAGGTTTTATGTTTGGAAATGCTCACTTTGCTGCTTGAAAGGCCTACTGATGACAGTATTGAAGTAGCAATTGGATTTATTAAAGAGAGCGGGCTCAAATTAACAGAAGTTTCTCCTAGAGGTATTAATGGTAAGTACAGTTAGCCAAAACCTATCTTGGCACTGGTATTAGTAAATACCTTTCATGTTTACATTTCTCTCTTCTCCAAAGCAATCTTTGATCGTCTTCGACACATTCTGCACGAATCCAAAATCGATATGCGCGTTCAGTACATGATAGAAGTCATGTTTGCTGTACGCAAGGATGGCTTCAAGGATCATCCAATCATTCCAGAGGGATTAGATCTCGTGGAAGAGGAGGATCAGTTTACTCATATGTTGCCATTGGAAGATGACTACAACCCAGAGGATGTTCTTAGTAAGTTAGAAATGAAAGATAATTCCTTAACTGCATTCCCCAAGAAAATAAATTCAAGGTTAAATAATAATAGTTTTCTTCAATTTGTGTTTTAAATAAAGATTCTCTTTTATTCTAAAGATGTTTTCAAGATGGATCCGAACTTTATGGAAAATGAAGAGAAATACAAAATGCTGAAGAAAGGTAGGGGCATTTGTGTGTATGCGCAGCCATTACCTATGGCATTTGCTTATTCAGCTGTTGCTGCCAACATTTATTTAACCGTGGGTGATATTTCTGTTCTATACAACTCATTCAGTTCACAGACCTTTCCTTTGTGTTTGTGCTCCTCAGTGTTGTTTCTCCATCTGTGTTTCCACTGAGTTATGTTAGATCTGCTTTTTGGCCTCTTCCACATTCTGTACCTGAGACATCCTTTCACTCTTCAGGGGTGGGATCAGGGGGGTTTTTGTAATGAAAATACTGTGATCTGTGTTCCATTAATCTGGGATGCTGCTCTTTCAGAAATTCTTGATGAAGGTGACACTGAATCTGAAGGAAATCAAGAAGCTGGAAGTAGTGAAGAAGATGAAGACGACGATGAAGAGGAGGATGAGGATGGTAAGTGTATGACTGGCACCTTACAAGAAATTGATTGAATGTAGATAAACAAGAAAGAAGAGCTCAGATTCTTAGATGTTTTGCAAAACTGAGATGCTCGAATGTTAAGCAGTGTTTTCCTCTTCAGTTATTCTCAGATCTAAGTGTATACTAGCAAACAATATAAAAGTCTGAAAGGAAGCATTCAGCACATGCAGACAAGGAAAAGCAGCTTTGCCACATTATTGTTGACAGTATCAGTTTGAGATACCAATGATTTTTTTTGACAGTATCCTTGGAGAAAAGCCTTGCAAATGTAAGACATGAAAAAGAACAAAATGAAAACTCTTGCCTCAACTTTTCCATGCTCAATCATATTTTTAAGTAACTTTCAAAATTAGGATGGATTTTCTTACAACTGTATCTACATCCTCCATATGTCACTTTAGTGGAGACAAAACTTATTCATTTTCAAAGAATGTATTCAATTCCCAGGAAAATACATTAATGGATAAGCATAACTGAATTTTTTATGCAGACTGCATGAGTAATAGAAAAGCCAGTCAAGTACTGTTCCTGTACAATACCAGGAATGGATTTCCTTACTGATTTGGTGGAATATTTCACAGAATAGCAGAGCTCCCAGGTTCAAGAAAAGTATGAACATTCCTGTAATTTCTCATTTTTTATGTTTTTACCAAACTTTAAAAGACTGAAGGAATAGTGAGTATTTGACAAATTGAAGTGTTCCCAGAGTAGTTTGGTTCAGAATGGATTTTTCTACACTTGCTCCAGGACTTTGCAGAATGTTGTAATGTGGATCCTGCAATTAACAGGAAGTAAGAGTTACCCGTTAAAATGAGAAATGCTGCTTAAAGCATTGTATGCCTAAGTTATGCAGGAAATGGATTGCTAATAATATTGACAAGACATGTTAAACCTAGAGGTTGCAGTGACTAAGAAACATTAAATGTCTTTAAAAGAATTACCCTTTTAAAACTGTCTCTAAATATTTACATCTGTTACAGATGAAGCAAATACTGGGGTTTTTTTCTTATCTATAAAAATAAACATAAAAAAACCCCATAAACCTGCAAACAGTCCTAAGTACTTCTAGAAAAATAGTGTGCTACAGACTCAGTAAATGGTAAATAGAGCTGTCCTAAATAATTACTACATGTGTCTTCCTCTTAATGGTTTGCTCTTTACAAACCCATGTTTTTCTCTTCCAGGTCAGAAAGTTACTGTCCATGACAAAACAGAAATTAACCTGGTCTCCTTCCGTCGTACAATTTATCTGGCTATTCAGTCAAGGTAAATATAAATTATATACCTAGGAGTGCAGTTCTTTTGAAGTCAGTGAACTTTAATTCTTTCTTTAAAAATCCTGTCTTAATGTGCAATTTAAAAGAAAAAAAAAGTAGGGAAGTGGTCTTTAGGGAGCCTGACCTGTGTAAAGCAAACTGTTTTCCAAATTCTCATTCTAAGATGAATCTTGTTTATTTCAAAATGTTTGGGTAGTGGACTGGGACTATTGCTGTAATGAGAACTTTGAGTGAACAGAAGTCAGTGATCTTCAAATTTAACAGCATCTTCGGAATTTATGAAAAAAATTTGAGACATGCTTAAAAATTCTGTGGTTTGTCCCCACTTCTGAGATGGAGTTCTTTTGCTGTCTGCATTGTTTGGAAAATAAGTATACAGTTACCAACCCTGAAGTATAGTCTACTTGTGGTAATCTTGAGAATGAACTCTGCTTGCAATTTGTGGCACAAATATTCCAAACCTGCTGATTGTAGCTTCTGTGTCACCAGGCTGAAAGATTGATACCTTGCAGCCCATAATACTCTGCAGATCTGATGCTGCATGACAAGTGCAATAATGTAGTTGTGGTGTTGATCATTAGATATATGAATTAATTAATACTATCCTGAGGATATCAAAGGTTCTCACATTTCTCAAAGTTACTGTTGAATACTTTCTTGTCATACTCAAACTTGTTCATCTGATATGTGGGGGGAGGATGTACCCAGTGGTGGTAGCTAAAGGCTTTCAGAACAGGAGTGCACAGAGAAGACTGTGTGGTATATATTGATTTTGGAGCTGGTCTGAAGTGCTTACATTTCAGTGTGTTTCAAAGTGTGCAAAACAAGCTCCCACTTTTCTGTTTTGTTAAGTTTTGTAAGATGATGTGATAGCAGTAATGACTCAGATCATCTGGTTTTCAAATTGATGCAAATGTAATCACTTTGGATTAATTTTCAGATAGAAACTCATGAAATACAAAATATTTATTAAAAAAACCACAACAGCAAAAAAGTCTTAGCAAATCAAACAGCTGACATACTTTACTTCAAAACAGTTGAGGATATAGCACCATTAATGATTGTTAATACAGTTTTGGAATGTTGTTAGTATAGTGTATATTGCACAGATAATAAGTGTTTTTTTCTATTCAGCTTAGACTTTGAAGAATGTGCTCACAAACTGCTGAAGATGGACTTCCCTGAAAGTCAGACTGTAAGCCTTTACTCTTCCTCTTGTTGTTACTAACATTTTAGAGACACAGTACTATGGTAGTATCTAAAAATTTTGCTCACATTCCACGACCTAGTTTGTATAGCAGGCAGATGAATGAGAGTCATTCCTTACAGCTGTTGTTCCTCAAAATTTTTTCCACAACCTTTAAAGCAAATAGACTGACACACATTTCATAAGCAATTTGTCTTATGCATGTGCTCCTTTCTGTCAAGCAACACAAATGTTTGTTCATAGCCTTTTAAAAAGATCTGTTGTTTGGGCTGGTGAAAGTTCTGTCCTATGACATGAATTCAGCACCATGACAGGGTTCTGTCTCTGAAAGGACTCTGGGTTGAAGATAATATTTGCAGGCAGCTGTAGACTTTATCAGTGGGGCTTGAAATTTAGCACAGTGCTATGAGTGTGTTGTTTTGGTGCTTTCGCAGTAAGCATATTGAATTAAAGCAGTTTTGAGTGATTGCTTGGCTGTAATTTTGAAGATCATGAGACTAAAGCTGGTTTGTCCTCAGACTCTGTAAGATCCATGTAAGTGCTGTGTTTTCAAGTAATGGAAAAGCATTTTTTCATCCAGTACTTTTGTTCAGTATTGGTAGAATGTAAATACACATCTAATTTTCCAAGCAGCTTTTCAGACAGCTATAAGCTGTCATCATAGGAGTTGCACTTGGGTGGGCTTTCTAACTTCTTGTGGCTTTAATTATCAGTTTTATTTGACATAGTGTGTGTAATAAGTAACTTCAGTATAATACTAACTAGTAAGGGGAGATCTGGGCTATGCTTAGGTGTTCTTTGAGAACTTGTTTACCTATAATTTTTTTCAATTCCTACACTGTTGCTTGTTTCTAAGCAATTTACATGGAAGTAAACTAAGAACTGAGATTGTGATTTTTTTAAATCTGGTTCTCTAATTCTGTGCATGAAATGCAATATTAAGCATGCATAAGATTATAATTCTCAGTGAAGTACACATAACCTGAAAAACTCTAAAGAGAAAAAAAATCCTGTTGCCCAGCAAATCAATTCAGCTATAAAGAATAAAGCAAGCAATAAGAATATATGTACTAGACCATACAGAGTTATAATGCACAACACTACTTGCTTATAGTGAGAACTACTTAATCCTTAGGATTTAATACCTTGGCAGTCTCTGTCAGCTCCTAACTTCTGTGAGCAAAAGCTGATCAGAAGAAATAAGGGAAGGAAAAAGAAAAACTCGACCATTAGTATGAACCTACAATTCAGTACTAGTTGTAGGAATTACTACAATTCAAGATTGAAAACTGTTGTAAAACTGCGTCCTCTTATCACGAGGCTTCTACTTTGTACTGATTACTTCTTTTCCTTAAGAGTCCTGAATACTCTTCACCTCATTTAATCAAAGATATGAGAGCTTTGACTTGCTCATTGTATAGAATTAAGCTCCTTTATGGGAACAAAAATCATTTAAAAAAGGAAGTCACTTCCTGATCATTGTGAAAGCAGAAGGAATAAGCAGATGTAGGCAGTAAAATTATTCAGGGGTTTCTAGGACTTGAGTCTGTACATGTGGATTAAAGAAACTGAATACATTCAGCAGGAAATTTGTTTAATTTAGCTGCCAAATTTTAAGATGGAAAAATCACCTTTTATTCATTCAAGCTACTGTCTTCAGACTGAAGCCTTTATTGAATTAATTCCCTCTGCCTTCATTAAAAAACAAGCTATTATTGAGTTTGCAGATGACACCAAGTTAGCATTTAGCGAAAATATTCCATAAAAATCAGGTGCAACTTAAGATTTTCATTGCAAAATTTTTATTCAAATCAAGTCTGATTTTACAGTAATGTTTTGCTTTTCTTCTGAAAAACTTTACTTAATAAAGCAATATGTATTGAATTTTGTCATAAAGACTGTTTTCCACAAGCTTTGAGTAGTAAATTTTCAGTTAAATACAATCAAAAAACTAGTCAGAATATCTGAAACCTAAAGACAGATGCAAACAACAGGTTTGAGACTAATAGTCTTAATGACCATCTTTCTGGGTAACTCTTCCAGAAATCTTCATGTGTAGAAACTTTTGGTAGGATTTATCAGGGTAGAGTTCAGAAATACATTAGCAGTTTTTACCAGTGGTTGAAGTATCAGATCGTTGTGTCACATTAACTGCTGTGCAACACAAGTTGTTTGTCTGTTTAATACCAGTAATGGATCTATCACACAGCTCTGACTCACAGAAAGAGGATTAAGGTTCAGATGGATAATCTGTGGACTGGAACAACATAATACTGCTTTTTGGCATTGCAGTTTAGGACCAGCTGCTGAGGAGGGATGTCAGCAGTCCTGTGGATTTTATTTTTTTTTTGAGGGAAAACATTTAAAGTGTTATTTCACTTCTAAGTAAATATACTAGGAGTGGGTTTGCTTTTATTCATGTTATTTAGACCCAGCTGAAGCCTGCAGATCAAAAATGAAATAGCTTTGCTGTCTGTACTACAGTCTGTGCAAAGCTGTTCTAAACAAGCCTTGCAATTGCTTCTTTAGGCATATGTTCAGTCTTGGCAGAGCTCACTGTTTTACTTTTTAAAAAAATACTGTTATTATCTCTGTTAAAGCTGTGTTAATCCCATGTATTACCAAAGAAGAAAATTTAAATAAATTAAAACTGTAGTTAGAGAAGTGTGGTATAACCAGTTCTTCTGGCTTCTGAACTATGGGGAAGAGCAATCAAACAAGCCTGGCCTCAATGCAGACAACTAAAAAAAATTAAAGCGACCATACATTGTTCTTGCTCTTTGAAAATGTGCCTAAAATAGGACGGCTTTTAGGCTTTTCTTCTTTCTTGGTTTGTGATAAGAATTAAGCTTGTATACAGAAATGTTGCTAAATTAAATTAGAGCCTCTTCTAACACTGTGCATATTCCAGATAAAGGTAATGCGTCACCAGATTTTATTTTTTTTTTACTTGAAATGAGAAAAATTCTTGCAGGCACAGCCTTTTTGAAGGAATTATGCATGCATCTGACACATCTCCATTTTTACGGGATGCTGTCACTTGCTCAAGGCAGTCCTAGTTGGTGGTGTGGGAGTGTCAGTGTCTTGTGTTATTTATGCCTTGAGTCTTGAAGATAACACAAGTACTTATGTTGGCCTGACTATTTTCACTTTCAGTGAAAATATAGTTCAGGAAGCTGATGTAGAGCAGGATGGTCAAAGGCTGATAAATACGCTTTGGTCAAATTGATGATTTCTTAGATACATTAATTTCTTTAATTGGAGGGCATTGCAGCTGGTAGGTTTAGCAACTGCACCGTGATTAGTTCACAGCCTTGCTGCTGGCTGTAAAAGATAATCATCCTCAAGCAGCTTTCCTGTCTTTTGAAGTAGGAGGTTTTTGTGGGCCTGAGGTGCAGAATCATTCTAAATTTCCATGATTTGTCAAGTTAAAAAAAAGTACATCACATGCATATACCATGTTGTGGTATTTGTTGATGTCTACAAAGTGAAGGTACAGAATCCATACAGAATTGGGCTGTTGTGTAAGTGATAGGCAGGCATTAGCTAGAATTCTGCCTGGATTTTGGTCTTCCATGGATGTGTGTATGCATGTAACCTAAGGAGGTGGAATTGCTCAGTGAAATTACTCAAAGTGAAGTTTTGCATGTGCAGCCTTCAGGTAGAAGGAAAGAGATACTGTGGGACTTCAGTGTATTATTTCATTTTTGTGTGTGTTTTGTGTTGCAGACTAGTAGCAGTATGATATAAAATATATCTATCCTTATATCCAGCTAATGATTCTGGTGTAAAATATTAAGTCTGATTACACCAGATTTGTGATAACCATATTCAGCTTTAAGCATATGTTGCTCTAAACAGAAAAAGAATTGAGCAAAAAAAGGGACAAAAGTTGAGGAAGGCCGTTAGCTGAGCAGAGGATAGACCTGGAGACTTTGTAGTAGCTGCTAAAAGCACTGCACATAGCTTGACAAGAGGCTGCCTGCTGCTGAAACACCTTCCATGGCTTTGTCAGCTTTGGCTCTAAGTGGTAACTTGACAAATTCAGAAGAGAAAGCAGAGATGCTGGGAAAAGTAGGCTGTGTGATGGTTGCACCCATTAAAATATGCAGCAGTAAGGAAAGATTTAAGGTAGTCAGTGGGAGTAAAATAGGCATCAGTGAATTAAAAGTGAAAAAAGTGTGGCATCTGTAAAAGCAGTGAAGATAGATGAAATGCAAGGCACTTGTCTCACATAATTCCCATTTCACATTGATTTAAATGAACCTGAGGCCTGTACTAGGTTTGCTCCTGGCAAACCAATTCCTTTAGTTCCGTGAAGAAACTTCTAGAAATTAAGTTTTGATATTGAGAATGTTATATTTTAAGAATAGCTTACAGGGTGGGGATCTCATGATGGCTTCAGCTTGTGTATGCAATGGATGGAACAGAGCTGTGGGGCTGGCAGGGGAAGGGAGGTGGGAATGGCATCACTTCCAGCCAAGGAGGGCAGAAGTGACCTCCACATGGAGGCAGCCTGGGGGGCAGCTCTGAAATTGCAATCTTGGCTGAATGCAAATCTTAGAGAAATTGCAAAACATGGTGAGAAAGGGCGGGGGGGAAGTACTAGCTGTGAAAAGGAACCCGTGATCAGAAGGGGCTAAGTTACTTTAGCTCTTCTGCCTGCCATGAACACAGCCTTTGTGTGAAGCTGAGAGAAGATAGATTGGGCAGGGTGTGGTTGTGTTTTAAATTGTAAAACTGGGAGAAAAAGCCAAAACAAGTCTGATTTTTCTGTCTTTTCCTTTAGCATCTTTTAATGTATGATGATAGTTTGCATGTTAGGTTGAGTCACGGTTCATCAGAACTGCTATTCTGTTTGGGTAAGAGCAGATAGGGACTGCTTAGGCAGAACTGTGAGAAATGCACTGCATTTAGGAGGACCTTTCTCCTTATCTTCTGTCTTAGCAGTTTTGGGAAGTGCTATTGTTCTCTATACAATAATAAATTCAAGATCTTCACAAAAGATGATTCACCATCTGTATGAGATGTCAGATATTTTGAAGTGTTTTACTTCATGATTGGGTAGCTATATAGGCTTTCTTAACTAAGCTGGGTAGTTACTTATTGAGCATTGTATGAAAACAGTTAAACAACACAGTATAAAAATTGCCTGTAAAATTGAGCAACAAATTTTTTGTGGTCTTCAAAACAAGTGATGGGCTAAACAGGTTCTTCATGCCATAAACATCATTGGGAGTCCAGATATTAGTTCACTAACTTTAGAAGCTTTAAATTAAGCTAGATTTGCCATTTGAGCTTGTTGCATCTCTCAAAAAGTAATTAAATAATTGTAAAGTTTGTTAATTTTAAATCTGGAGGACAGTTACTCTAGACCTAACCTCAAATTGTTTGGATAACACCAGCAAGAATGACTTTATGGGCAAACCTATTTTCGTGCGTGTGGTTATTCAAGATACCCTCCTAGAAATCATTGTAATATTTAATTAAAATGTTAAAATATTTAATTACTGTAAAACACAGGGGGATACCAAGGCTATAATTGCATTTAAGATGAGGAAGAAAAGTAATTTGTTTTTCAAGTCTTCCTGACATTATTAACAGTGGCATCAGCACTTTACCTTTTTTATTGTTAAAAACTGATTAACTGCAGCATTACTGTATAATGGGATAATATAAAAAGTTAATATGCATTTTAATACATCACATTAACACTGGTTGACAGTGTTAACAGGAATGCCTTTAAACACATCTGTAAGTTTATTTGATACATTACTGCCTTGTTATTTGGAGGAGTGTTTTCTTTTCTTGTTCAGCTTGATTGGCTTTTTATTTGTTTTGAGCTTTTATGATGGGCAGAAATGTTTCTTCTGAATACCTGCTTGGAAGTATGACACAAGCGGGAGAACATGAAATCCAGTATGAAATCATCCAGTAGGTTTTATAGGAATGTTACTATTGGTTTAAAGAGAAATTAAACTAATAATGAAAGATACATGACTAACAGCCAGAAACCTATTTGGAAGTGTCATAAATTGGACTGCACTATGGAATTGGTCTTAGGAGAAAACAGTAATAAAAAAGTGAATGGGCAAAAAGTGCAGGGCTGTTTTAAGGATTGTGTAACTTCATGGCTTTTAATTTGTATGAAAACATTTGCTCACTTGCCTTAATTAATGTTGCCAAATGTACCCTGAACCAGTTCACAGCTGCATTGCAAGCTGTATCTCAGGCAGAAGGTCAGAGGAATAAGTTTGGCATATTTCTGATTTTGGAAATAACTGCTAAGAAATGCACATTGTGTTTCCAAATGGTTTGCCTGTAAGCCATTTTAACACTTAGAAGTTGTAAAGAATTTTTATTTTCTGTAAATGCAGGGATTGATACTATTTCACACAAACAAAAAGGAACCCTAAAAAGACTATCACAAAAAGAAGCAACTGACAAACAAAAACAAAACCATGAAAAAGACCCTCAAAACCTTAACTTTTTCTCTTGTAACTCCTGTTCTCATTGTGCTAAAGTCTCTTTGTAAATGAATTCTGATTTTTTTTTTTTTGTTAGACGTATATTGTGTTAAATAACCATAAATCTTAGTTTCGGCAGAAGAGGAAATTTGAAGGGCAAAAGTTCATATTCATGTCCAGTAGAAATTCAGAAAACTACTGGTGTTGCCCATGAAGTTTGATGTAAATATTCATTTCAAAGCTCACATCCATGTAAAGCTTCCTTCAGTTGCTTGGTATGTACTGATAGGGTTTTTGCTGCTACAGTGAATTTACCTGGAGAAATATTCTTTTTTTCATAACCCAGAAAGAACTCTGCAATATGATACTTGACTGCTGTGCTCAGCAAAGAACATATGAGAAATTCTTTGGGTTACTGGCAGGGGTGAGTTCTGTTTCAGATTTTATACTTTATGATAGAAAATCTCATTGTTTTACTCTGTTTTTTGTGTGTCAAACTTAAGTTTTAATGGATAAATAAAACTAATAGTCATTTTATCATTCTGAAGATGCTTATGTTAGTTGATTGTTTTAGTGGATTGAATTAGCACTTTGATTGTAAAAAGCATAGTAAATGCAGAATGAGAGAATTCACTTTCCCTTTATATTGTTCCTTATTTTGCCTCCCTTTTTTCTCATTATGGTAGAACAATAAATCAGCGGCAAAGAAATGGTAAAAAGACATAATAGTGTTATGAGTTACCAGAAAATACCTTTTTTACAGTGCTGAAGAATTATCTTGGAGACTTGTCATTTGCCACCTTGTTCAAAGCTGCTTAATAGGTTTAATTTAGAGCACAAGATTGAATACTTAGTGTCCTGGGCTTGGGGGTGTTTTGTTTGCTCTTCAATAAACAGCTAACTCTGGTTTTGTGTAACTAACTGCTAATGTAGCTGCAGTTATTTCTTACTTAAGGCTTCTCTATTGATAATATTGGCATGTCTGAAGAGTTAAGATGGAATTCTTGTCTTCTCAAGGGAGCAAGCTGTGCTGAAAGGGAATGTTTCTTCTCATTTTTTTCATCCATTTTTCCAGGAAATCCTTTTGCTGGCAGTCAGTTACAAAGCAGTAACCATATGAATCTGCATGTTCAGATGAATGTATATGTTGATTTCTATATTCTCTGAAATGTTTATGTCCAAAATGTCTTACTTCTGCTTCCTGCTGCCTCTGTAAATTGAAATAGTTGTTTAGTGCTGTCCTGAAAAAACATGGGGTTGTATCAGGTGAAAATACTTGATGTAGAGAAGTCAAGCAAAATGCTGGATAATTTGCTGTAGTTCAGAATTGATAATTACTGCTTTGCAATGCAAATGAGTTTCTTGTCCTGACAAACTGCTCAAAGCTATAAAATAGATCCATTTGAGTATTTGCTCTTCCTCCAAGGGTTATTTAAAAAAGAAGTCTTGCAGTAAATATTGACACCATTAGGTCACTTAGTTGTAGGTTATTTGCACGTTTAGTGGTTTTTTAAGTGGTTGTTTAAGTGGTACCATGTTGTTTCAGCGTTTCTGCATGCTCAAGAAAGAATACATGGAGTCCTTTGAAGCCATTTTCAAGGAGCAGTATGATACCATTCATCGGCTGGAAACCAACAAACTGAGGAATGTGGCCAAGATGTTTGCTCATCTCCTGTACACTGATTCAATTCCCTGGAGTGTAAGTTACAGCAAAAAGCCATTGTCCTTGAGCTCCAGTACTCCACAGTAACATATAGTACATGAATTCCAGTTTTATTCTACAGTTTGTAATGACTTGTGGCAAACTGGATTAATTTAAGTAAGTTATTAGACACTGTTGAAGAATTCTGGTTTGTGCCATCTCCTTTTTCTCCCTCTCCCCTATCATCCTCTCTCCTCATTTTTTAGTTGTTGATTTAAGCTAGTATTTTAGGGAGTTCAGGTGGAATTTGTTGATTAAAAAGTACTTCTTTTGGAAAAGAGTTTTGAGCTTCTAAATTTTGATAAATTAGAAGTTGTATTGAATTATAATACCATTAAAATACTGTCATTTTATGGTTTAAATACCTAATAAATAAATGCAGTCTCACATTCTGAGATATCTTATTGTATAGAAAGGTAGCTTGTCATATTGTTTTGTTTTTGTTTCATAGCCTAGTCTACCTGTCATTCTTCAAGCACACATAAGTCAGTCCAAATATTTTACCTCTTCTGTATTTAAGTCCCAAATCTCTTAACTTGCCAGAAGTTTACGCATCTGATTTTGTCTTGTAGATTTTTCCTAAATTAAAAAAAAAATCTGAAAAGAATTATTAACATAAATATGATCAGCAGCTGCTCCCATGTGGTAGAAAAGAATTTTTGAGAAAGACAGTCTTGACTAGAATTTATGAACCTTGGGGAAAAAAAGATGAGGTTTTATTAGTTACTTCAGGAGGACAGAAGTTTCTAAGATGAGAAAAAAATGTATGTTTAAACATAAGGGTTAATGTTTTTCTGAATATTTTCAGGTCCTTGAATGTATAATACTGAGTGAAGAAACTACCACATCCTCCAGTAGAATTTTTGTCAAAATATTCTTTCAGGAACTCAGTGAATATATGGGACTTCCAAATTTAAATGCGAGATTAAAAGATGTGTAAGTTGAAATTTCATTTTCAAAACTGTAAATTTAATTAGGTTCTTTATCTGAAAACGTTCAGCTAAGAACTCTGTGTTCAGGTTCAAGTGAGACTGCCCTTCTGTAGCTGCAGTACTTCAAGAATAAGTTCATGTGTAGATTTAGTCACTGCAAGGAGTCACTTTTGAAGCTGAGTTCATTGCTGTCATTTTGGGTTCAAGAACGTGCATGACTCTTTGCAGGATGTATCTGTTCCCCCTCCACCCCCAGTGACACTCAGCTACCGTAACAATTTCCAAATGCGAGTTTATTTTTATATATTGTCAGCTGTATAGCTGCATAATAAACATTACTGGGCCTTCTCTTTCTGACAAAACTTAGGAAAAAACACACAACTATTAGTAACAGTTTCTCTAGGATTACTTACTAATCCCTAAATGTAGTATACATGACATGCTTTTAAATCTGTGTGAGATTTAATGTGTTATATTTTGACAATGTTACTTGCAGTTACTTGAGCTATTTCCTCTAAGTTGGGATTTCTTCTGTGTATGATGAAGAATGTGGTAGATGCTTTAGTTAATGTAAACTTAAATTTGAAACTGCCCCTAAGGCCTTATATGAGGGGATTGCAGCATGGATCCCTAATCTTGGACCTTTTTGGTCAGCACCTGTTATCCTTTGCTCTCCCAGGCTGCTGCTGTTCCACAAGTCACTTCAGGGCTTCACAAAGTTGAGGTTTCTGTTGTCATTATCTGTCAGTATGTATGCAACTCAACTCTCCTGTATGTTGTCATAAAAGAGCATGTTTTGAAATAGCATTTCATTAGATGCATAATAGGTACAAACAACGAAAGTGTTGAAAAATGCGTGAAGAGAAAACTTTTGCTTTCTTGTGAAGATACATACAGTTTTTTTTTCAGTTTCTTTATGTCAGTGGGAGTGCTGAGCCAGCATGGTGTTTAATATAGATGTTTGTTTTCATCAGGACACTGCAGCCTTTCTTTGAGGGGTTGTTGCCTCGGGATAACCCAAGGAACACTCGCTTTGCCATCAATTTCTTCACTTCCATTGGCCTTGGAGGACTAACGTGAGAAACACTTTTCTCATTTGATATTTACTTTCTTCATCTTCCCTCTCCCCATGAACAAAAAAATAACATTGAAGAACAATTTTTTTTTTTTTTTTTTGCTAATTAGGGATGAATTACGGGAACATCTTAAAAATGCACCAAAGTTGATCATGACCCAGAAGCAAAATGTTGAGTCGTCAGATTCCTCCTCATCTTCAGACACAGACTCTTCCTCAGATTCTGATTCCGACAGCAGCAGTAGTAGCTCAGAGTCTTCGAGCAGCAGTGACTCCTCATCTAGCAGTGACAGCAGCAGTGACTCAGGTATTTAAACACCACCAGTACAACGGTTTGCTTTTCTTATATTTCTTTCTCAGATATGTTTATTACTCTTTCTGTGTATACTTCTTTTGAGGAAGATCTCGCTATAGACAGTGGTCATTTCTCTGTTTTAAAAACTAATCCATTTTTTTAACTTAAAGTTTTAAAATATTAAATATTTCTCAAGGAAATTTATTTTTAAATTCGTACTCAGAAAAACGGAGTTCCATTATTAGATACTTAAATATCTGAGAAACGTTAGTTTGTAGATTAATTTTTTTACACAATTGATATCTGTTGCACTCTACTATGACTTCAGTTTATTGGAAGATTGAGGGATTAGAGTAATTTTCAATTATTTTGTCTGTTTACTGGTGAACCATAGAGACTCATGTCTACTGATGTCTTTTTTTCTTGGCTTAATTGAGTGAGCTTGATACTCCTTTTGTCTTTCCCTGGAAATATGTGCTTCCTTTTAGAAATCATTTCTTCAGTTCTAGCAATGTGTTTAAATATTGTGCTCCATCTGAGTCCCTATTTCTAATTTCTCTGCTTCAGAAAAAGATTGTGTGGCTATATAGTGAAATTTCTTGTCTGTAGAGGAATTTCCAAGGAAGAATTAGCTTTCTCTTATAATTTATTTTGTATTTTTATGCATTATAATTAGCATTTAGTGTCTTATACTGTTGTACTGATGTAGAAACTTCCATTAGACATGAACTGTCATAAACATTGCTTAATCTTTAAAGTAGTTGCTATTATGAGTTAGTGTGTGCAGTCTCCCCCAGTATATATAGCAGGAGCAGATGATAGCACAGCATGACTTCCTGTTGCACAGAAGTTTGCTGATTCAAAGTTAATTTGATTTATTACATGCCTTTGAAATAAAAATGATGAATAAAATAAAAGCAGTGTGAACTGCTCCTGCTTTGGAAATGCAGTTCTGTTCTCCACCTCAGTCTCCTGTCCAAGGTGGAGCTGTGTGTCATGGCTAACAGCATCAGTGACGACAGCACGAGAGGAGGGCACGGCCAAACAGGGTCACAGGAGGCACTGGTTCAGCACAGGGCCAGATGGTCCTGCAGGGACAGCTGCAGCTCTGCTGAGCTGCTTGATAGGAACCAGAGGGGTCACTCCTTAGTGACAAACCAAGTCTGCAGTCTGCGAGTAGAAACAGGGTTTTTTCAAAGTTTAGGACCTTCTCTTGCTACTTGCCTTTTCTCCATTGAGGAACACATTCATTAAAATTCACATCTTGGTACCTTTGCAACCTGCTTTCACTTTTCAGTTTCTTGTGTACCTTAATATAGTGGTACACAAACACTAATTGGAAAAACAAGTGGTACAAAACACTAATTGGAGATAACAGTAAGCTTTAATGGTTAATTGAGTTGAGGTTCCATTACTGGTTATACCTCTAAAGTCTTCCTGTGTTTGTAGCTTTTTAAATCTATAAAATTACTTGGAGGAGTTATGAGATATTTTTCATAGAAATGTGTGGCAGTATTTCAGTGTTGATCAGTGTATGAAAGAAAAATAGAAAACCTGCTGATCAGAAATTGAGCTAAGTTAGAGATTACTGTCATACTGCCTGTTAATGCTTGGAACTTCATCAACTTGCTCAGCTCAGCACTGCCCTGGGGAGATAGTTCTAAAACAGGTCCAGCAGAGGATAAAATACATCTGCCATCAAAGCAGCTGGTTCTTTTCTTTCTCAGGTCTTTTCCTGCATGCTGGTGGATGTAAAATAGTATGGAAAACACTGCTTAAAGAACATTATGGATTAAGATGTATCTGAATTGATCCATCCATGCATTTTAACAGAATGTCATCAAGCTTTAGTTCAGACACGAGCCTAGACAATTCAGATAATGCATGTACTAATAAATCAGTTGAGGGCTGTGATATTTTCAAAAGGTGATAAGAAGCAGCTGGTGTGATTCTACAGTTCATGCACTAAGGCAAATGGATGGTTATTGTAAATGGCTGTTAATGCCAAATACTGTCAAGTGGGATCTAAAGGTCCCTGATAAAGAGCAAACAGGAAGGTAAGACCTGTTCACTGAAATGAGACTACTGTGTATTTAGAAATACAGAAGTTAGTTTTAGTCTTGTTGACAAAGCTGTCACTATTTCCTTTAAAAAATGAGCCTGAAGGCCATTGTTACAGTGCTGCAATACCATTATCTCACGCCATTTCATCCTACCTCTTTTTCCTCATGGGATAGTGTTGGAGATATTACCTCATCTGCTGTTTTTCATCTTCCTAGAAAAAAAGATTATTTGTGAGAGTGCTTTGGTGTATGACTTTACAGCCTATGCCTGGTCCTTGGGTACAAGTTAGCAAGAGGGTGATGACAGGTAGAGGTTTTAAAAGGACAGGCATCATGTGCAGATAGCAAGGGGATAAAAATCAGGAGTTCATTATTTTGGACCCTTTGTCCAGATACATGTGCAGAAATGTTTTCTGGCAAAAAACACTCTTTAGAACTCTTTTTGTAGTTTAATAAATTTAATGTACTAAATTAAAATGCAACTTAGTTCCATAATTTGTTATAATTTCAGATGTTTCTAAAGCCAAAAGGAAGAGAACGCAAAAGAAAAATAGAGAATCTGATAAAGTTTCCAGGAAAAAACAAGAAAGGAGAAGGAAATCGCTTGAAAAGAAAATTGGAAGGAGGCAGCGAGAGGAAAGAAGTGATACTGAGAGCAAATCAGAAAGAAATCACCAACATTTAAGAGAATCACATAGGAGAGATGATGTTTCAAAGTACCACCACAGAAATGAGTCCAACGGCAGAGATGGTTACCACAGCGGAAAGGATAGGAACCATGAAAGAAGTAAGGATCCAGAAAATAAACACAGTAATTCCAAACTGAAGAAAGCAGAAAGAAGAGCTTCTCTGTCTGATGATGAAAATTACAGACGTAGGAATAAAGACGATGGACATCGTAGTAGTAGGAAAAGAGAGAGATCCAAGTCCCGCGAGAGGGAGCGTGGCCGCTGCAGCCCCCGGGAGCAGGAGCAGGAGGAGCGCTCCAGGAACGGCTCGGAGAGGCAGCGGGACAGGCACAGCCGGTACCCTGAGCAGCACAGGGAGTCCCGCAGGAGCCACGACAGGCACAGGGAGAGCCCTCCTCACTGCTCCCCTCACCGCAGGGAGAGGGAGGGCTCCCTGCACCGCAGGGAGAGCCCCCCACACCATAGGGAGAGGGAGGGCTCCCCTCACCGCAGGGATAGCCCTCCACAGCGCCCCCCTCACCGCAGGGAGAGGGAGAGCCCCCCACACCGCAGGGAGAGGGAGGGCTCCCCTCACCGCAGGGAGAGCCCTCCACAGAGCTCCCCTCACCGCAGGGAGAGCCCCCCACACCGTAGGGAGAGGGAGGGCTCCCCTCAACGCAGGGAGAGGGAGGGCTCCCCTCACCGCAGGGAGAGCCCTCCACAGCGCTCTCCTCACCGCAGGGAGGGCTCCCCACACCACTCCCCATATCGCAGAGAGAGCCCCCCTGACCACTCCCCACACCACAGGGAGAGGGACAGCCCCCCTCACCGCTCCCCTCGCCGCAGGGAGAAGGACAGCTCCCCTCGCCACAGGCAGGGCTCCCCGCACCGCAGGGAGAGGGACAGCTCCCCTCGCCGTAGGGAGGGCTCCCCACACCGCCAGGACGGCTCCCCTCACCGCTCCCCACACCGCAGGGAGAGGGACAGCTCCCCTCGCCGCAGGGAGGGCTCCCCTCGCCGTTCCCCTCGCCGCTCCCCTCGCCGCAGGGAGGGCTCCCCGCACCACAGGGAGAGGGACAGCTCCCCACACCGCAGGGACAGGGACAGCTCCCCTCGCCGTAGGGAGAAGGACAGCTCCCCTCACCGCTCCCCTCGCCGCAGGGAGAAGGACAGCTCCCCTCACCGCTCCCCTCGCCGCAGGGAGAAGGACAGCTCCCCTCACCGCAGGGAGGGCTCCCCTCACCGCTCCCCTCACCGTAGGGAGAGGGACAGCTCCCCTCACCGCTCCCCTCGCCGCAGGGAGGGCTCCCCACACCGGCGGAAATGAACCCAGCCCCCTCGGCGATCAAGGTGCATTTCCAAGCTGGTAGAACTGTATTTTAAAATCTATTCCTGAAGTTTCTTTGAAAAGAAGATTTTGTACAAAGTGATAGTTTGCATTTGTAAATTTTACCAGACTTTTTTCAAATTTTCAGTAACACTTTTTTTTATAACTGTATCATTGAATCTTTCTGTTATGTTCTTTGTTTGGAAAGACAAAGCTCTTTTATTTTGTGAATAAAACAGTAAGATACCAGCAAATTGGGTATTTTGTCACTTAGTTTCAAATATTTCTAATTGTAACTTCACAATCTAAAAACCTGTTGGTTTTTAACTCCACTTGTTAATTGAAATCCAGATGCTGAGGCTGGGGTGATAATGTAAGAATTTCAGACTACGATGTGAATATTACGTGAGAAAGTGATAAAATTTTCAAACAGACATTCTATATCTGCATGTTCTTTCAACCTTGCAAGCATGAGAGCCTTTTGACCAAAATCTTCAGGAAATACTCAGTTGATTTTTTTCTTCAAGACTTAAAATTTGAAAACACAATGTTGCTGTTTTAAATGTCACATGTGAAAGTGTGTCAGCTTGTTCTGTGACTTTTCACAACGTTTTTTAATATTGTGACATCCTGAGCTAGTTTCACTTGTGATCTTTTTGGAAAAAGGGTTGGTTTGGTTTTTACTTTTTCTGTTGTGACTTTGATTTCCAAGTCTTAATCTTCAACTCTATCCGTACAGCTGGAACATTTAAGGAACCTCTTTTCCAGTTTTTAAAAAACAAGAAAGCAAAACAGGAGATGTTTCTAATTTTTTAGGTGTTTTGAAGTTATCAAGTTTTTTGGAAGCAGAGTTCAGAAAAAACAACCCTCAGTTTACTGCACCATTTTATGATATAAAAATGTTCTGTTTGGGGCCATGGGGTACAACTCTGTCTTGATTTCATGAGAAATGAATCAAAATCATCTGATTAAGACTAATTCTCAATAGTAAGTTACAGAAAAATTTGCAGTTTTTTTCAATCTTCAGGATTGAAATAGGAAATAGTTTGGGGGCATGGTCAATAGGAAAGAGGTGGTAGTTGCAAATTATGCAGTTATTGTTACTGTATGACTTTTTTATTTGTGAAATTAACACAATTGCTGGACAAAAGAGAACTTTCATATTTCATATGTAAATCATATTTCCTGTATAAAGCATAAGAAATACATTTGAGCTGTTTTATAACAGAAAATAGAACCATTCCTAAGGAAATAGATCAGTTTTGCCTAAATCTTGTCATAACATTTTTCTAAGAAAAATGTGTAATTTTTTTCTGTATTTTACAGAGTTTATTTCTGCAAACTTACATGTAAAAAAATGTTTTCAGTCAAAAACATTTTCAAAGAAAATAAATCTATGTTGCAGAAAAAAAAAGATTTCTATCTTGTTAAGGCACACAGCTAAAAATACCTCGGTGGCATCATGTGTTACATGTTTAAACTGTTGGCTTTTTGCCCAATGCACATCTCATTTTCAACATGATGTGTGCATTTTGGCAGTGTGTGAAATCCACAAAAACTTAATTTAAAAGAATGTTTTCTAAAGAGAATTCTGCTAATTCTTATGCTTCTTTAATAGCTCTGTATGCACATTAGTGAAAAGAATCTATACTCCATAATGGTTTAATTGCACAAGCTTACTTAATATATCTACATATATATATCTATATAATACTTCCCTTAATGTGTTATGGGTTTAATAGCCTATATTTTATTAACCCATAGCGTTTGAGATATCCTGATCTAGTTAAAAAGTTTGTCAATGACACCTTTAATAAACAGAAATAAATTAAAACAATACATGCGAAAACATGTAACATTTATTCTGCATCATCCTGTGCCAGCAGTCCAGCATTTTACTATAGAGTATCTGTAAAAGTATGATTCTTTTATAGCCTCTGCCTGATCACTTGAATATGCTACTTTGTGATGTGTTTTCCTTGCCAACTTGTGTGTAATTTTATAGACCTAAACCTGAATATTTGCCATTTTTCTTTTCTAGAAGTTAAAATTCACCTGCAGGCTCACCTTTATGCCAGTCTGCTCTATAGGCTTGTCCTCCTGCCCTTTATTTTGCTTTATATTTTACAAGGGAAAGAAGTCAAAATACTCTGTAGTGTTCAAAATGAGGGTAATGCAGGAGATGCACATTGCCACAGGAATTTTTGGGGTGGTCAGTTTTCAGTTGCTGAAGAGCTGAGTGACCCTGGGTGGTCTGGGCTTGCTTTCCTCAGCACTAACAGCTGATTGCAGACCCTGCACTGTAAAGGAGTGACTTGTGCCTTTTGTCTGTAATTAATACTGGAGCTCTAGGCCATGATTGGAGCAGCAGTTTTGACTGAAAAACTTCCGGAAGTGGAGGTCCTGTGATTTTCTTCACTGTTTTGCTCAGTTCTAAATTCTTGGTACTTAAAACCAAGGTTGAAACACTTTGGCCTTGATTTGGGGGTGAGCGGAAGAGGAATCTTGCAGACTTGACTGTGCATCAGAGATTTGTGGGAAGGAATTTTTAATGTCCTGCTCTGATACTGCATGCTTAAATTTTAGCTTTCAAACGTGGTTGTAACATCCACATCCATAGATACAGCAAGAGAGGCTGCATCCCTTTTCTAGGAGTGCCTGGCCGAGTTCCTGAATTTCCTCACCGTGGTGGTGTGAGGTGTTAAAGAGATGAGCTGCTGACGCACCCAGCAATTCCTGGTGGTGGAGGAATAAATCTTGACTGAAGCATTTGTGGTATTGGTAAGAACTGTAATTCTGCTCTCTAACTATATTTGGAGCAAGGTCTCCAAGTGTGGCTGTTCATATGCTCAAATCTAAAGCATGTTTTTTTGGGGGGAGGAAAGACTACCACTGTTCAGGCCACATTGTTACATAAATCATCAAAATACAACGTCACAGTATGAAAGGAGATACATTTTGGGAAAAAAACTTTATTTAAAATACATCTAAATTGCCTTCAACAGATGAAGCTTTCTAAAGTACTTTTAGTTGCCGTTTAAGCAACATTGCACTGTTCAGATTGCAGATAGTTCATCTCCAGGTCTGCCTAGGAATCGAGGCATGGCTACAATAATGTTTTTCTGCTTGTGTTACGTTAAATGAATTTTATTGTCAGATCACTTACATATTGAAATCCAAGTTCAGTTTTTGAATTATACTGGTAGTACTAACTAGATGTTGCTAGTACAGTATTTTGACCTAGGAGCATGGTGTTCTCTAATTTACTTGAGGCTCTAGTAGCATGACTCTTCTTAAATGCAGGGTGTACTCTAAAATAGCTTAGTACATGTCAGACTCCCAAAAAATACGTGAGCTAGGATGGGTGCTTTAATCTCCAGTAAAAATTTAAATGCCTGCCTTCTATTACATTGGTACAGTTTTATGAATATAAAAAAAACCAGTGGCTTATCCTCATTCATCATTCTTAAACTACTTTGAATTGTCTTTCACTGCTGAGGAAAGCATAAGGTTAATTGTCTCAGACAATCTAAAAGAGCAGGAGCCTATTATGTGAGCAGAGAATTTACTCCAGTTACCCTAATAACATGCAGAGAATAGGGAGACCTGTCCTTCAATTTATTTTTAGTAAGATTGAGTATATTTTTAAAGGTGCTTTAAATTTGTCAAAATATTTTTTTAAGAAACTGAAATCAAAATGCAAACTATAAGGGGATATTTTTATTAAAACTATGCAAGAAATTAATTATAGGTTAAAAGAGGCAGGAGCAAAATAGAACTTTATAAACTGGCAAATCTTTAGGTCAGTTCAGAGATGTTCTGCTCTTTTTTAGGTTTTCCTCAAGTCTATAATTTGGCTGAGACTAGTTAGGGATTTTCTTTTCTTGTCTACTCATGAATGCCATCCAGCATTTTCCTTAAACTTCAAAAAAAAAGGGGGGGAAGAGGATGCAGCTTAAAGCCTTGGTATTGTGGTTTGTTAGGCCATCAAACAGACAAGTCCATTAAGAAAATTAGCTGCCACCTTTTGACTGTCCAAGCTGTCTGTTTTTAGTATTTTTCCCATTATTTTGGGAAATAAAGGTGGGAGAAAATAAGGTGCAACATTCCTTAAGATGGTGAAGGAAAGACCAAGGATGTATAAGAGGATGTAACGCTCTATAAGAAAATTTGTTCCAAGTGTCATGGTGCCCATGACAGGTAAAGTGAAGTCAGAGCTGGTCCTGCCAGGGCTGCTGGCACAGGTGTCTGGGTTGGTTGCAGAATTGATTGGTTTTCACTTGGTGACTGGTATTGCTCCTTAATTACTTAACCAAAATCTTGACCAAATTGTTCTTAAGCAAATCACTCTCTCTTGAAAATTGGCGATCCCTTTGCTTTTTTTGATGGCTTACCTATTGCTTTTTACTTTATGCTCTTTTCACAAATCTCTTGTGAAGTTTCACATTCTGGGTTTTTTCTATCATGAAAAGCTGTGTAAGAATTCCTTTGTTACTACCTTACCTAGAATTTGGTATAACTTGAAGATTCCTTGTATTTTCAAGAGCCTATGAATATGCCATCCTATAAAGACTGAAACTTTTCAGCACCTTTTTTTTTTTTTTTGCCCTGGAATAATACTTAAGGTAATTGGATAAACAGTAATTGATTTTAAAGGGAGAGGAGTAAGATGTTTGATGTAGTCACTTAGACATGCTGCTACTGTACTGCCTGTATTTGTTTTGCTCAGTACTCTCATTAGGATTTTCTTCATTTTTTCCTGCTTTACTTAGACCTTTTTTCATTTTTTCCCTGTCCCTTTTGAACTTTATTAATAATCACATGCAGTGTTAGCCATTTAGAAAAATATAATGTCACAAATACATTAAAAATTTACTATATATCACTTGCATAATGCATCAGAAAATAGTCTTTAAAGGACAGTTTGGCTGAAGGAACAGTGTGTGTCACACCTACAGTAAAGACCAAGTTGCTGCTTGCCTTCTTACCTCAGAATAATGAGCTACAGGACAATAGCAAATTTTATAAGGTTAATCAGGCTTCCCTTTGTTAACATTCCTTTCTGATTGCCTTCTTTTTGTGCTGCCTTTGTTAGGAAGAAGCGTCTATAGAGTTTTACAGGTTTCTGAATTTGGATAAAGAGGTTTTGTGTCTGCCAATGTGCCCTCAGAGGAGTCACAGTGGTATTAAGTAAGAGCAGAAAAAGTAAAGAGGGATCATCATCCAGCAGAGAATGGAATCCCATAGTCCTCTGTGTGCCTGTAGGGAATGCCAGGAGTTGGTATTTTAGTCTTTTGACTCCTGCAGCACTTTATGGAGAGAGCTGTGCACCGCTCAGCCAGTTTATCCATCACTTCCACCTGGGCAGGGCTCTTGCAAGAGAGGTGCATCCTACTGTGCCCTGCCTTTCCCAGCACTGCAAAGTGCAGAGCTGCTGTGTTACGCTGCTGCTGTGCATTTTGCTGATTGTTGCTCTACTAACATCTCAAGTAAGATGAGCAGGAGGTCTGGGCAGCTGCCCTGCACCCAGGATCCACAATGGCTGCTTGAACCCTGTGTCTCACCTGCCATGGCTGCTTCATAACCAGAGAACCCCTCAGCATACAATGAACTGAAAGAGCCTCTCTTGGGTGGCTATAGACTGAGCCCAGAGGGAGTAACTTCATTACACCAAAGCTCACTTTTGCAAATACTTCTTTCCTCCTTCATCCTCTTCCTGGGTTTTGGTTATAAGTCAATGTCTTTGTGGGAAATCGTGATGTGTCCCAGTTTTTCATTTCATAAACTAGAAGAAACTGGAAGAAAATAGTGTAAGTCCAGCAGTGCTGAAGGAAGAAAGATTCCACTGACAGTTAGGTAGCTGACAGCAATCTTGTGCTCTGCTGTTTCAGTCCTAGTGAGAATGCCCTCCTCCCTCTCACACCACCACTCCTGACTGCTAGGAGCTTTAAACACACTTCTTCACAGAAATGCATGCCAACACATCTCTTTTAAACTGTCCTCCCCTCCCCATCCCCCAGGTGTCCCTACTAAAAGAAAAGATGGTCACGTCTTTCTGTTCCCTTTTAGAAATG